GGGGTGCAGGGGAGGTCCCAGGCTCTCCCAGAATCCCCAGAGTCCTTCTTTCAAGTCTTCCAGCCATTCAGCTCACCTTTGCAGAGAATCTGCTGGGCCGGGCGCCCTGGGCAGCCCTGGGACATGCAGGAAAGGAGGCGGGAGGGCAGTTCCCCGCAGTGCTCACCCCTGCAGGGAAGACAGACATTGCAGAGAACTAATTCAGTACAATGGTGCGAAGTTTCCTGAAGGAGATGTGGAGCTACGAGAGAGGCTTCCAGGGGAGCTGGACCTCACCTGAGGGCACGGAAAAAGGCTTCTCTGCAGTCAGACGTCATGCTAAGGTCTTATCAGTTTGGGGGGAAAGCGGTGGAGGGAAGGACAGGTGTGAGGGCTCTGGGATATGTGGGGAAATGCCCTGTGGTCCCGAAAAGGAGGGTCCTGACTCAGGCCAGGCAGGAGGGGACAGGACTGTCACTGGTCTCCAGTTGGATGGTGACCCACACAAGTGAACCCAGGAGTGACCAGGTAGACAATTTCCCAAGAGCCCTTGGGCGGCCCTGTGGAAGCGCTGGGTGGCACTGCTCATCAAAGGTGAATTCTGTGGGAACTCACAGCCAACTCGGAAGCAAGACGGAACAGGACGGGGCCATGAGCAGTTGAAGGCTGAGACAACTTGTGCCCACTGAGTTGGCTTACAAGAAGAAGCCAGGGGAGAGGAGAGATTCAACCAAGAGAGACTGATAACGAGTCTGTTGTTCTTGAGCACTTTCCTTTGGAGGTTACTATGGGACAGATGTCCTGTCGTGGCTGGAGGCAGTGGAGAAAGAAGGTAGACAAAGAAGATAACACCACAGCACCAAGCACCCCACAAGTAGTATAGCAGAGAGGGAAGGAATGGCAGCAGAGGGAACGGGGCGGTGGTGGGCTGGGCTGGAGAGCATGAGGGCTGCAAGGGGAGAAGAGCGCATTCAGGAGGGCAAGCCAGCAACCCAGAGGCTCCAAGGAAGTCACCGAAGTCTTCGGAGAATGGGGACAGAGGCCAGATGAGAGTTACATGGGTGGAAGGGGACTGCAGACTGCAGTGGGGGGGGGGGGGGGGGGGGGAGTTCCCTGCCAAGGGAAGGCAGGGAAAGTTTTCCAGATGAAGAGGCCCATGAAGAAGCAGAGGGGAGCCAGCCAGGAAGCTCCCAGCCTTTCCTGCTGCCGCTGGGGGATTCTCACTGGCTGGTTGGGAGTTAGCACAGAATGCAGGAGCAGAGCAGCCTGGAGTCAGGGCCTTGGGGCAGATTAGAGGGAAGGTCTTGCGGGTACTTGTCCTAGAACCCAGGCATGGCTTCCCCACAAGAGCGTCGTACCTCAGACCGGGGAAAGATTACTAGTGAGAGTGGCTCTGGCAGTAGTCTGTCTCCTTCCTTTGCGCTCATCTGTGAACCCCAACGGGGTGGGGAGGTTTCTGGGACAAGGCGCAGGTGTGGGGCTTCCAAGAGGAAGGGGATTGAGGTTCTGCAAGGAGCCACTGCCCCTCCCTGTGGTCCTGCGAGGCAGGGAGGATGAGGTAGGGAGTGCTCATGGGCTATAGAACCAGAGAACTGACCCTGAAAAACAGTTGACTAGGACAGAGGAAGACAAAACTAGAGGGCATGGGGAGAGGCAGAGGGAGAGTGGATGCAAAAGGCCCTCCAGAGACAGGCCAAGTCTCGCCCAAGTGAGTCCTGGGTTGGGGCAGGGGGAGGGGAGGAGGCAGCCCTGCCCCTGGAGCACCGCCTCCAGTGGTAAAGCCGGTCCCGCCGGGTTTTAAGGTCCTATGTTCACCTGACAGGGCTGACACTGTAATGAACAGATGCTGGAGGGAGCGGTGTGAAGCCAGACTTAAGACTGGAAGGAGACAAAGGACAGCCCTCCAACCAGTCATGGGCCCTCCTTGCCCCTGGGCCCTCTCCCCTTCTCTGGAATCAGGCTAAGCCTCCGGGCCACTTTCATCTAACGAGAATCACTTGGGTGAGGCAAGCACGTACAGCTGGGGCAGATTTTCTCTCGAGACCCTCAGCTTTCAGTGCACCCTAAGAGAACCACCTGCAACTGGGAGGGGAGCCCCTCCAGTGATGTGCCGCAGCTGGCTTACATCGTGTTCGGTGACTTCACCTCGACTGCTTAAAATCCAGGGTGCTGAGAGTAGTTACACCATGGAGATGGGCAGATGCTAGAGTCAGGGCTCCTTCCCGCGGAGAGCCAGTTGTTAAACATGTAGCAGCACGTCGGCACACGCTGGCCCCACCCCACCTGACCCCGGTTCTCTCTCTCCACAGTAAACGGGAAGGCCACCGTCACCATCGAGAGCTGTGCCCCGACACTCTTCATGTTTATGCTCAATGGCAAGCAGGAGCAAGGGCTGCTGAGCCTCAGGAAGAACGGGATGAAGCTGGACATATACCCTCCAACGGTGGGCACCCACAAGCTGCAGATCTTTGCCAAAGGCAACTCTGACATCTACAGCTCAGTGCTGGAGTACACGCTCAAGTGCAACTACGTGGACATCAGTGTCCGGCTACCGGCCGAGCTGCACCAGCCCGTGGGCCCCAGCTGGTTCTCGGAGCAGATGGGCATCGTGAAGCCCTCCCACCCCGACCCCATCATCCACACCAGCGACGGGCGCTGCTCGGTCAGCTTCGGCGTGGAGGAGGGCATCAGCGTCCTGGCTTCCCTGCACGGGGACGAGGGCCCCATCACCGAGGAGACGCAGCGGCGCTACATCTTCCAGGTGCAGCGGCAGAAGCGGGCAGAGCTGAAGGTCCAGCTGCCCCAGGCCGGCAAGTTTGCCCTCAAGATCTTTGTCAAGAAGAGGCTGGAGCCAGGCAACTACGTCTTCGTCTTCAATTATCTCCTGTGCTGCACCAACACCAAGGTGAACTGGCCCATGTTCCCCGAGAGCTTTGGCAACTGGGGGCAGGACAATGAGCTGCTGGAGCCTCTGTCGGGCGTGCTTCCTGCCAACCGGAACATCCCGTTCAAACTGAAGCTCCACGGCATCGCCAAAGCCCTGGTGAAGGGGCAGGACACGTGGCCCCTGACCCTGAATAGAGAGGGCTACTGGGAGGGCAGCTGCAGCACGGCCGGCTGCCACGAGATCTACGTCATGGTGCTGGAGAACGCCAACCACAACTTCTACTCCTACATCCTGAAATACAAAGTGAACACCCAGTGATGCCTGGCGCCCCCCGGCCGCCCCCTCCCAGAGGGCCGAGGCCAGACTTGCCCAGGGAGGGCCCAACGGAAGTGCGGAGAGCCCTGAACACCACCAAGTCTGCATGCAGTCTCTTCGAGGCCTCTGCCTCGGGCTCTCTGCTCTGCCACGGAGGCGGGGATGTTGGCGTTCCCATGGCTTCACCCGGTTGTGGCCGTGGCCCAGGGGACTGAGGCGAAGGCCCTTTAGAAGACAAAGGTGCTATGTAAATCCAAGGTATTGTAAAGGGTACACCACTGCCCAGACGCCCCCTTCGCGTAGTAATGCTATTGTTGTCTTTATAGGGCTGGTGTGGGGAAGCAGGGAGGTTGCCCAGGCAGAAAGCTTTTTCACGTGATGATGAGAGAATTCTCCTCCGTGCCCAAGAGGGACCTGATCTGCAAGGCTGAGTCATCCTGAATCACAGAGCCCGTTTCAGGCAGCCTCAGTGTTTCTCACCAATTCCTGGACCCCAGGGACGGTCGGCCTACCATTTTTTCCCCCAGACCTGACCATCTGCATTCCTGCTGCCCCTTGCTCTTCAAGAGCCCTAGAAAAGAGAAGGTGTGAAGAGGAAGCTGGCCAGCCCACGCCTGGCCGGAGGCTCCATGGTCCCTGGACACAATGGCCATGTGGCAATAGGAAGGTCACGAGGGGGCTCCCAGGGCCCACTCTTGGGTGCCCTGGGGGGAGGGCTAGAGGGCGGGAGACAATGCAGCAGCCCTGCCGCCTGAGTCTGAGGCTGTGAGGCCTCCGACTCCATGCTCCCGACGGGCCTGTGGGCCAGTTCAGTCTAGGGAGTCGCTGGCCCTCTAGGCCCTCTCAGAGTCTGGGCTTCAGGCCCCGGCCTGCACTTTCACGGGGAGCTTCAAGAGGCTGCTAGGCCCTTGGGGGGGGGTGGCCTTGGTGATAGCCCTAAAGACCCGGGCAGGGAGGCCAGGCAGGGAGGAGTGCAAATACCATAGTGCCAAGGAGACTCATGAAATAACAGGGCTCTGCCAGCCCCCAAGGCTCCCTACCAGCAAAGCCCACACAGGGGACCTCCACCTGCTCCAGGAGCCGCTTCTGTGTTTGTCTGCATCCCATCTTCCTTCCTGCCCGTCTCTGACATGAGAGACCCCTGGGGTCCTGCCGTCCATGCTGGCTCCAGCCCTAGGAGCCCCAGCTGCCCCGCGGCCCTCAGCAGCACCTCAGGCCCGTGTTGCCATGGCAACAGCGGCAAGGCTGGCTCCTTCCTGCAAGGGCAGCCCAGAGGGAAGGAGGGAAAGGCCCTGCGTGGCCACTGCAGCCCCCTCCCAGCATGAGGAGCCCCTGCAGGGCCTCCCCGCCTCCTGGCTGCTCCGCTCTACAGCCCCTCCCGTCTCCACCCCCTCACCCCGAGAGCGGGCACTGGCCCAGCCCCCCCCCCCCCCCCCCCCGCCAACTACTGTTCTAAATGTCTTCAGGTTCAGCGACAGCCAGGCCAGCCAGATGCTCACGCCTTCTCTGCCTTCATCCTCACATTTGTGTATTCAGCAAATGTTCATGGGGCACTTAATTAGCACGGGGCTCCGTGCTCAATGCCGGGGTTATGGAGGGAACCAGGGGGTCCTGCCCCTGCCATCTCAGAGCTCAGGGTGGGCAGCAGCAGCCTCCCTCGAACAGGCCTGCCTAAAGTTCCCTGGAACTTCAGTCCCGCATCTCCCCAAAGGTCCCTGCTGCCACCCAGCTTGGACCTGGCCCAGAGCCATGTGACAGGGGTGCCCAGGCTGGGGGCCCTGGAACACCAGGGTAGAACACCATGGGGGTCTGGGCTCTCCCCTGGACTGTGTCCCGTGCCCTCTGGCAGGCTCTGCCTCCCAAGCCTTTGACACAGTTGACACGCATGCCTGGAAAATGCACAAAGGCCCCAGAGGCAGAACCGCAGTGCACTAACTACGACAGGAAAACAAGGGGAGTTCTTACACACCAAAAACAGCCTTTTTCCACACCTTTGACTTTATGGGCTGAAAGAAAGGTGCTGTGTTTTATCCAAATAGTGTCTTCTATGACTCATGTCACTCCCTGGACCCAGAGCCATGGCTAGCCCCGATGAGAACATGTATCTTTTCTAAAATAATATAACTAATCAGTACATTCTGGAGCAGGCAGAGGATGCCACCTGGCACAGTAGGAGTTGCCCAGGAACCAAGCCCAGGCCCCACCTGCAGAGCAACCGCGCGCCTCCCTCTGCGTTAACCAGACCCCCCCTTCTTAAAGACAGCTGTAGGCACAGTCAGAAATCACCTGTATTTCTTTCCACTGAAGTAAAAATACATGAAATGAAATCCAATCTTCATGAATTTTCACACGCATGCTGCTCAGGGTAGAATTCGGGGTTGCATTTCTAAGCCTTTTATTCAAATCCCCATCTTTGTTTCCTGGTGCTGGAGTCCCCGCGACCGGTGGAATGGCTCGCGCGCCCCCTGGTGCCCAAAACGCGGAGCTGCCGGCGAGCAGCACTGCGCGGCCGAGTCGCCCGCCAGGGTTTTTTACGCAGAATTTGAAATATGCTGCTGAGATGTTTATGTTCAGTTCATTGGGTGCTTCCTCGTGTGCACACGGAGCACATCTCTGCCACGCGCAAGCTGTGAGGCGAGCTTGGGGCCTGCTGGCCGCGTGAGAAGACACAGCATGTAATACTGGGGAGTCTTTTGCCGGGAAATCGCGCCTTGAAACGCAAACACTGGATATGGGACTGGCAGGGACAGCTCTGACCGCTCTCGTTACTACGCAGGTGAAGGACCGAGACTGATCACACTCAGGGCTTTGGCTGGCAAGTCCTGGGACGACAGCCCTCAGGCCACAGGCAGAAGGGTGCAGAGAAGGTCGGGGAGGGTGCCGGAGTGGGGGGCAAAGGGGCTACAACCACAACTGCAATTAACTCCTTTCAGCTTGTTTCCGACGCGCCAGCAGCACAGCTGGACTCCGTTTCAATCTGATTATGATCATCGTGAGTTCCCCATATGCTGCATTGTCCCACCAGGACAGACTCCTCAGGGCCTGCTGAGATTAAAAGGAAATAAATAGATTAACTGAAGCATGAAGGATTTAGGCTAGACATAAAGAACTATTTCCTGTTTTTAAGCAGGAGGGGCAAGGTGCCAAGAAAGTTTGTGGAATCCTCTTCTCAAAGGACTTGAAATGTAAAAAAGTTTCCCCAGTGGTCTGGGTTTGAGATGCTATGCTAACTGGAAGGATAAATTCTCTCTAAACCAGTTCATCCTTGAAGTACACTAGATCGCCCCCAGCAAACATGAGGTGAACAGCATTGCCACATGCTTTGCTGTTAACAGTGTGTTCAGAGGTGATGGGCATCCGTGTCCCTCATCAGTTTTATCTGGGGTCTATCATTTCTTTTCATTTGGAATAAGTAGCTGGAAATCTTAAGAGGTGATTACTTTTCATAACGTGTGTGTTGAGTTGTGTGGGCCAGTGGCTGTTGAGTATGCTTTCCCCACATTGTTGCTGGTGTTGTTTTTCAATAAAATTTATATTCATTTTTATCCAACAATGTAATTATCGATCTGTTCTTATCACTGTTCTCACAAGGGGTAAAAAAATAGGAAAAAACACTTTCATGTTCAAAGGGAGCCCTAGGAGAAAAAAAAAAAAAATCAATGTCCCAGCCATTTGAATGTGATGGGGAGATGCAAATGGAATGTCAGGCAAATAGCTATTTCACATTAAAGAAAACATAATTAGTTACCTCCAGCCCCTCTCTGGCTCACATGCCTTTGAAGAACATGAAGGCAGTGTTTCTTTCATTGAATCTTGTTTAACTTGAAATTTTTCAAGTCAATCTTAATTTCTGTTATTAGTAGAAGAAAAGAATGTACCCAAAATGCCTATCAGCCTACATTTTTTTGTTGTTTTGAGTATCTATTTTTTGATTTTCATATACATACAGAAACTTTCCAGCAGGTTACCTAAACAGATTATTCATAAATTAGACATTTAGGGAAATAGAGAAAATGAACATCCAGGCACCTCTGAGAAGCTGCCGTAACCATGGAGACCATTCTCGTAGCTGTAGTGTGAAGGACAGAAAGAACTGTGTTCTCCAGTCTGGCCTTGTAGCATCATCCCTCCCTGCTGGACCCACAAACGTGAGCTCCCCCCGCCCCGTCCCCCGGGACACGTCTCTGGAGGAAGGAAGCGCACGGGTGGACCATGTCTTGAACAGCATATTAAGGAGAAGTCAGAAGAAAGCCTCCCGCATTCATAGGAGGAGGAACTCTTAAATTATTAGAACAGTCTGAGAATGCCAACCCCGAGGCTGGAATGGATGACCTCTAACGTCCCTTCCAGTCCAGAGAGTTTGTGATGCTGTGTCTCTGGGAACAGATGCTGGCAGGTGGTAGACCTGGGATTGTCAGTTTCGGAACATCTGAAGGGCCCTGCTGTGTTAAGAGCCTGCCCTGCAGCCCCCAGCAGACTGCACTGCTGTTTCCTCTCTTGCCTGAGGGCAAGGGGCTGGAGAAAACCCAGCAGAGAGACCAAAGGGAAAGCAACAGCCCCTGACAGGATGCTGCTTCTCTCTGATTTTGCAAGCAGAACGAAAGAAAACTAAAAGTCAGGCAGCGATCGGGATGCCTTCCCTTAGATATCCCACAGGCATCCCCAAATCAAAAGATACTGAACCGAAGTCACTTTTCTCCCCCACATTACCTCCAACTCCTCCTGGGCCCCCAACAAAGTAAATACATCCCCATCCCCCAGGTACCTCAGTCAGACTCGTGATGGTCACTAGTGACTCCTTCATTCCCCGCAGTGATGAAATCTGGTCCATTCTGACCCACTCTCCCAGCCCCACATCCACCCTACTCCCACAGCCTTTGCCATAATTTGAGCCTTCCTCATCTCTCAGCTCCGCTATGGGGATTGCTTTCCACGATGATATGAGGACCCACCACCACCACCTGCTCCATGACTCCCCATGTTTCTTCTTATAAGAACACCAG